TGGAAAATGAATCTTTATTTTACTACATTTTAAAGCAGTTAAAGTCAATTTATGATTGATTGTAGTTTACCAATATTAATTTATTATTATGTCATTAATAAATGATAAGTAAAATTGGTATAGTACCTGTCCTGTTGTATTATGGATCATAATACTTTTTTAAATATCAGGGGGTTTTTTTTCCCTTTAGTTCATAATTGATATTTTCTCTATTAATAAATGTGATATTTCATTTGTCATCACAAAATATATATAATGCAAACATGGCTGTCATGTAGTGAGTTATGAACATGTCAGAGAAATTTCTAAAATTTCGGCTGGAATGCTTCAAACATAGCATATCCATGCGACTATTCCGCCGGGAGTCGTACGTGCATTGAAAACCTACCAGGAAGTAACTCACGCCTGGTGCAATATTGGTTATGAATAGTCAGTATTATGATTAAAGAATTCTTTTGGAGGTCTAGAACCTTGGTTTTAACAGGATAAACACAATTCATGTTGCTTTGATTGTCCTTCCTTGTGTTTGCTTATTTCTGTTATTACAGCTTATGTTGTGTGATCGCATTTGATTTGATTCAGTGCATTTCGTGTTATTTTTATCTAATGTTTGGAATTTGTTTCTTCTTTTCAAACTGACTAAAACAATAATATTTGTCTGTAATGTAAACAGGATTAGTTCAGAAACCAAACTTTTAGTATTATTATTATTAATAATAATAATAATAATAATAGAATAATAGACTTATAGGCATATAGTGCAAAAGGCAGGAGCTTAACATTAAACATTTTAAAAAATAAGAAATTACCCCTCATTGCAAAAATAACTTTTTTTAACCCAAATAAACATGCATGCATACACTTTTTGTTTTTACAGTAGAAGTGTTTACAATCCTTATTTTCATCTGTGATAATCTGAGGAACTTTATAATAATAAAATTATATTATGTAAGTATTTTAATTAACATAATTGAAATGAAAAAATCGTCCTTGCCATTTCTTTGCTTAGACCCCTTAAATTAGTGGTAATTTATTATTCAAATGAATTATTAGAAGATAATGTCTTATTTAATCCTTTTAAGGGAGTTGTAAATCTTTTATTTGATTTTTTTAGGGTTTATTGCACAGTTAGTTTTCATTTAAAAAGTTTATTTCAAGCATGCTGGAATGTTAGTACCTTAGTCCTACTTTGAAAATACAAGTAAACCTGTGATCTTTTTTTCTTCCATTTGTTATGACACTTAATTTACAATATAAAGGAATGTTCATAAGCTGGTTTCTGTGTGGAAGTTTTGCTAGACGATTATATACAATGGTGACATTAAGGTGGCTGGTATTAGATTATATTTTGATGTTAAATTATCAACTTTATGTTTAAGTTTAATTGGTCCTGACAAGCTACTTCTCATTTTACACTTCAGGGTTGTCGGTGTGAAATATCATCAATTTAAGAACAAACCAAAGAACATGATATGTTTGTGTTTTAAAAAGGTTGTTGGGAAATGAAGAGTTTGCACAGGATTTGTTTTTCTAAAAAATTGTCAATTATTCGTGAATTATAATTAAATTATTTAATCAATCAGTAGGCTATGATGTAACAAGCAAATGCTTACAAAATACAGATTTGTTAAATTCTATGTTCACCTTTCACTCTAGTGGTCATATAACTAAATTATCATCATCACCACCATCATCAAAAATATTAGAAAATGTGATGTGTGTCATATTATTATTGTTTATAATTTTAATGTTAAAATTATTGTTGATTTTTTTTAATTATTTTATTTATTTGGTATAAAATACTCAAAATGCAACAAAGGTTGAAATACTTTTGAGTTTACAATAGGAAAAAAAATTAGGAAAAAAAATAAATATAAATACAAGAAGAAACATCAAATCACACACAAAATAAACACCTAAATTTAGGCCTATGAAATCACTTCAATCTATAAACATTAATAAATAATTATAAATCTATATACATGAAAATTATATTACAAATTGATTATTTAAATATATATGTACAATTACAGACTTAAAAAATATATCAAAGTTATTTGGCGTTTTGATATTGGCATTATTGTTACAGGCCTATATGATTTTTTGATTTTTTTCTTATGGTTTTTCTATTTTCCTAGTAAACATTTATATGTGCAAACCAACGCTTTCAGTCTGTGGGGTGCATGCTGTCTATATAATATACTGAATTGAAATAAAATAAAATAAACTCATCTCATATAACTATTATACAAATACAATTAACCGCCTACAACAATGATATGGACATTCAGAATCCCAACAAAAGAGATTTTTAGCGAAATAGATTGATGTCCATTAAACATAGAGATACAAGTACATTATAAAAACATAAAAAAGCATAAAACGTAATGGAAGTAGTAGATTAATACAAAAAACCCCAAGATTTTATAAACCAGAATATATTTTACGGATCATGTCCCTACCCCTAGGATTAAACTTCTTTGGTATTATCTATGACCTATTGACATAGGAGGACAGGCAATTTTAGGTCTACCTATTTTTTGTGTACATCTGAAAGTGTATTAGGTGTTACCATATACAGTGCCTATAAAACACACTTATTTCATAGCTACAATTGGCAAGATTGGTTAAGAATCCTCCCAGCTGTTTGTCTATGGAGTAGTCGAGACTTAAGTTTTTGTGTTTTTTTTACTACACATTTATACTGTCTTCTCTGTCCATTGGTGACTATTAAACTAATTGTCATGGGTACGGTTGGGTGTCGTGTAATAGTAGTTGTTTCAATTGACTGCATTTTTAACTTGCTTGTAAGTGTTGATGTGATTATGTATTGAAAACAGCTTGTTAACTAAAGCTGTTGTCACACTGGGTTTTAAAAAAGGGAAGGTTTTACCGAGACCATTAACATTCCAATGGGTAAAATCTTACCGTTGTTTGGACTTGCATTGACACGGTTAGTTTTACCATAAGCCATAATATAAAATAACCGAGTCGTGGAAGCTCATCAACTTCAGTGACTCAGGAAGTTTAACCAACTTGCGCTGTTCCAACTGGACTTTTCGTCTCGGTAAAACTTGCTCAATTTCCTGGGTAAATTGAAGTCGGTTAAACTAACTGCATGGCTCGAATAAGTTACCTGAGAGGCAAGTTCCTGGGTTGTTCGCACTGGTAAGCTGACCGGCGTGTCGGCTAGTTTCACCGAAATAAGTCCTGTGCGATTACGGCTTAACTAAGAAGTATAGACTGTTGGGACAGATATTGATGATAGTGAAAGTGATGATTGAAGCTGATGATGACTGACAATGGTAGGCTATGTTGAATATGATGATTATGGTGGTTGAAGTCGGGCTCCAGAGGGGGGAAAAAGAAGTACCATGTTTGACGAAAAGCAACCCTTTCTTCCAACTTTTTTTTGATTATGAGGATTTCATTAATGATGAAGATAATGGTGTATATAATGTTAGAATGAGAATGATAATAAACATTCATATGTAAACATTCACAAATATAACGGCAATTGGGTGCTATGATGATGACAACATCCAAGATTCAATATAGAGGAAGTATATGAATACACAGTTTAAAACAACAGAATAACACCCTCCTCCTCTTGACTTCATGGTACCATTCTTGTCCCATCCATCTGTAGTCTCTCATCACTTTAACAGCTGGTACTAATTACCTACTCATGTCAATTTCAGTATTAATCACTTCCGAGCCATCCTTTTTTTAACGATTCCTCGGTGATTTCTCTAGCATAAACTGCTTGTATTTTTTTCTGCAATTGACTAAAAAATAACACTGGTGTTATACTGCCCTCATACTATATATGCAGGTTAGTGGTGTGTGCTTAGTGTCCAAGTGGAAATTATTGCATTTGTCCGGTAAAAGCACATGAACAGGTGTTCCATTTCGCCCATATTAAAGTGGATGCAGTAGTAGCGTTGTTGACAAAAATCAGAGTCTTGATTTTCAGATCTGGTGCAGAACATTCAGTGAAACCCTTCGCTTATACATTTATTTGTGTCCCTATAAAATACTTGTAATAATAATAATAGCAGCCTGCTATTAGTGCAACCACATATAAATCAGATATACAGAGACTGAATTCCTAATATACAGTAAGTAAGGCAACTAAATCATCATTCATTGGGTCTCCAATTGCACTGTGCAGAATACTGTATAGATACCAGCCAAAAAGTCACACTTTGATAAGGAATAAATTCTTACAAAGTTAATACGTTTTTCATAGAGATTCCCTTGTAAATATGTTCTTATTTTTAACTTTGAATCTACTGTATATATTCCAACATTAATTCTATTTCCATCAAAATGTTCTGTTTTTTTTTTATTTATTTATTTATTTTTCTTTTTATTGTTTAGTGTAGTACTATTAAGTCTTTGAAATGAGTTATTGGAAGTTATAAATGCAAAGGAGAATAAAACCGATTGTTAGACTGTATACAGTAGTTGATTAACTATAGCCTTTCAAATCCCTAATTGTCAAATGGATTTGGACACCAGAGGGGTTCTGGGTGGCACTTATGCTGCTGGCACTGTCGTTCACAACAGTCCCCTTGTCAGGCAAATCTTTGATGCTACCATTGTCAGGAAAGAGTTACTGGTAACTTAGTTTCAGAGACTTTACAAATAAAGGAAACTTAGAAAACTTTTCTCGTTTCTATGCCAAAGGGATCTGGATTCTTTGGTTTTCCCCTCATATTTTCCAACATAACTTAAGTATATTCTCTGTAATCTGTACGTTACCATAATCGTTCTATATATTGGTATGAAACATTTAAATTAACATATATTTCGACTCAAAACATGGTAGCAGATTGCTACTGCTTTTGATATTTTTTTCTTCACAGAGGATATGCTAGTTACCACATCACAATCATAATGCGAGTTAGACGACGGGCGAGTGTGCACCACCACCGTCGTCTCCCGTATGGCAAGAGCCCGAATTATAAACCTATTTTTATTTTCTGATTTTTCAGACAAAAACAACAACATTGATAGTAGTAAGTGGAAATCATTGTACCTTTAAATTTGGCTCACCAAACTCATATACGCAACTCACTTTGACCATCATTTAAAAAGCTATCAGTTCACCATAATATTTAACTAGACTAAAAACAAAATGTGTGTTCACACTATGGTCCTTGTGTGACAAATAATACATGAGATTTGCCCATATATGCTATGATACCCATATATAGGCATGATGATGTCATATATGGGCAAATCACAGGTATTTTTCACAGACTTCATAGTGTGAACAGAGCTTAATATTAAGTCTGTGACAAATACCTGTGATTTTTGTCACAGACTCAATAGTGTAAACAGACATTAATATATTATTTTTGTATTATTCATATTTTAATTCATCACAACCTGCCTCATTTTGTTTAGATTAGTCACGGAAGATTTACTTACTTTACTAGGACTTATGGGATATCCTGTTTTAGGAATTTCATACTAGACCACTATAATATATTAGAAATCGTATTTATGCAGTACTTATATTTGGACATGTAATTAATTTTTTTTTTATTAACATAGTTTATTAATTTATTGATTAGCTCATTTTAACAACCATCTTGTATTTCATTGTAATGATGCACTATAGAGGGAATAATAACAAATAGCTTACTATCATTTTTCAAAGTAGTTACAGGTTTATATTGGTTAAACAGATGATTAATTTGCATATTTTTGCATAACCATGTGCCCCGTATATTTACTGGGAGATTTCTAGTGAGCTATGCTAAAAATATGGTTAAAATTCTTAACACCTTTTTTAGGATTAAACCCTATCCAAGTGCAAGATCATTAACGATGAGGTATCCAATTGAATTAAATTTGTTAAAGCTTTCTTAAAATTAATCTAAGTGTTCATTGATGTAAAGAGCTTCTTTTAAACCCTAACTCTACTAAATTTAAGGGCTATATCATTGCTACAGACTTTGTTTAAAATAGTATGGTAGTAGTTTGAGTGCTAACAACAGCCTGAAAATTTACTTTTCCTTAGCTTATTTCAAGGTGCTGCTAATAGGATAAGAAGAAAGTTGTTAATTACTCATTCAGATTGAACACTTGATCTGTGGTGGCTCCAGATATTTGTCGATAGAGGGTCCAACAAATCCGAAAGGCAGACAGGCAGTCAGAACCAAGGGGTAGGTTAGGGCCTCTGACAGGGATACTTGATTGTCCATCAGGAGGTGATCCACCTCTGGTGCAGCCGCTGCACCTAAGGTATATTTTCATGTGCCTAGAAAAATTCTAAAAAAGTGCTTTTCATTATGTAGTAAAGGACGCTTGGTGGTATATTCATGGAGTTCCCCAGGTATGCTTATGGCGCTTTTCAAGGGTTCTGGCAATTCTAAACTTGCAATTTTTGTTGTTTTAGTTAATGATGTTCAAAAAATATTTATTCATAAATTTAGGGATATTAATTGCCAATCCTAAAAATGACACTAACTTTGTTATCTGCATATCCTATCACTTATACTGATAATAAAGTTATCATTTCCTTTTTATTCTGTGTTTTAAGGTTCTTTGATTTCACCAACCTACTTTTCTCTCTGAAATTCTCAATCACTATATTTCCCTATCACAGTGTGGCTCAGCAAATAAAAGTGTCTCACATTTTCAAACATCTATAATGGTCATTGGATCGGTGTTCTTTTGTCTGCCCAACCGCTTGCAAACAATAAACCTAGTGTATACCTGTCAACGTCTTAACCCACTTCTGATTCAATTTATACAGCTCAAAATTGATCACATGTATCTTTTACTTCATACTACTATAGGTTTTGTCCCTTCCCAACTCAACCACATTACTTTACATTTATATGTATTTACTTTTATTAATTATTCATGTGTATACAGTACTTCTTAATTTTATGTTTTTATGTATTTAGCTAATAATAATATATTTAAATAGATAGTAAATTTGATTTATATAGCGCATATATCCACCTAATGAAACGCTCAAGATGCATGAAGTTACTAAAGGAAGTTAATAACTGAGAGCTGAAAAAAAAACCCCTAAAACTAACTCATGCAGATAATAATGAGTAACTGAGATTCATCCATCAAGTTTGAAAATGTCACTGAAACATTACGGTATACAATAAGAACTTATAATTTCAAAGGTGTTTTCGGTTTTTTCTTTAGTAAATAGGACAGCACTCCAGACTATACGTGAATTGACTATAATGTGATTATAGAGTACTATGTCACTACATAATGGTAACAGCCATGTGATAGAGCTTTGTTATACTAAGCAACAGCAGCTACCTATATTTACGATATGGTTGAGTGCGTCTACAGTCAAGGCAAATTTTCTATACTATTACTAATAATTTTAGATTGAAAATGTAATATAAACTAATAAAAATTATTTTTCATTCATTGAGTTATCCAATGTAAATTAATTTTCAATTTAAATATTGATGAAATGTAGTACAATCATAGTTAATAAGATAACCATTTGAAAACTTTTTTTTTTATTGATTTATTCGCTGTAAACACCCAAGGATAACCCACGAAAGTTTAAAGACTTAAAGTATTTCCAGTGGGGTCTTTCTGGTAGTGATTGGGCAGTCCACCAGGAGACAATCCCCTAATCTTTTTTGAAGAGTGTGCCGTGTTGTTTAACATGCAGATGGGCCATAATGCACACGGGACCAACAGCTTAATGTGGCTTGGAATTGGATATACCTGGCCATATCAACTACTTAGCTAGCTCAATAACGAAAGGGTATCATGTGTTCATGTGATGTTAGTGATGCAGTATTGTTTTTCCATGTTCAGCTTAATGTATTGTTTGTTTGGTTTAGGTGAGTCGTTTATAATAAATGCTATGTTTGTATGTGTCATGAATTGTCACTCAGCAACATGGCTGTTGCATAACAAGCAACATTATCTCACTGTTAAATGATTTATTACTTTATGCCTTATAATTATATCCCTGTATCATCAAATCATTATAATGGGGCCTAGGAATAAAAAAGCTAATGATTTGGGATCCTTGAAGTTCTATTATCAAGTCTCTTTGCAAGGCTTCAATAGTGGAGAAATGATTATTTGAGGTCCTCAACAAAATTATGGCCAATTTATTTATTACGAGGTTCAAGTTATTTTAAATACAGAATTTTAGGTCATATTCTTAAAAACATAATATAACATAATTTGTCAAATATGTTGTAAGGTCCTGCATAATTAAAATAATATTAAATTGCAGTTGTTTTGTAGTTACATTGTGGAGGTAATATAATTCCATGATTATTATATGTATGGAATTAAGTCTTTAACGGACCGAGTTATATCCAAGACTAATTATAATACTTACTTTAGTATACATCAATATTTAACCAGAATCAAGGCCTCTGTTATAGCAGTGTGCTACAGAATTATGTATGAACACAAGTAAAGTAAAACTTATGTCTACTGGTATAGGGCAGCTCTGAAGATGTACGAGGGCTGGCAGCTGTTGTCTTGCGTAAATGGCGGACACAGTGTTACTAAGTGAGACCTACATGTAGTTACAGTTTTAGGTGCGCTCATTGCAAACGACATCATGCCTTTGTTCCGGTAATTGGACCTGATGCCCATGTTAGCCTGGTGAGATTTGACACTTGGAGCTTTGGAGTCGTTAATTGCCTGATGAACCCTCGCAAGGATGGCCATCACGCTTTGTAGGCCTGCTTGCATGTGTAGGGTGCTGCAGCAGCCAGCCAGGGTAGGCTTGAATAGACACATTAATATGCAATTGGATTAATCAACAGGAGCTTGTCTAGTGTGCATCATTCTACGCTAGAATTTTTTAGATACAATGCAGTTGGGTGGATTGACCAAGGGTCTAGCCTATCCCTATGTAGGCTAGAGTTTAGAAAACATGCAAGGATCAACCAACTGGGTCTAATAACCCCAGTTTGCTACAATATAATTTTGAAACAATGCAAATGGGATTGGCCTCTACAAAGGACAGTGGTCTATGGTAGCAAAACTACTGGGGGCTAATGGCAGAGATCTTGGACCCTAGGGGCCCTTGTGAGAGTGACTGAATGTCCTGAATTTAGGAGAGACTAATTTGCCATACCCCCTCCCATCTGCTGAATTATTGGGATGCTAGTCGTAGCCCTTAGATGTTCATTGAGTTGACCAATATTGTGTCCAGTCTATTATCCTGGCTAGGAGTAGACATAATCTTCACCAGTTTGACTTGCCAACAATTTGTATAAATAATATTAGGCTTCTTATATTTGTCATTAATAACATATATTACGTACTGAAATATTGTATTCAAAATTTTTATTAGTAGGATATACTATTATAAATTTCATTTTAATACATAGTGCTTATTGTCTTTTAATTTTAATTATACTACCATTATATTATTATTATTATGTTATATAAATATATTATGTACTATTATTATTTAAATAAAGTTATCACTGTCTTATGTATAATTTTTTTCTATGTTCATAAATATAGTATGTTTAATGTTACTCTCATTTTATGTTAAATTAATTTTAATGTTTTAATTATTAATAATTTTTTGTGCTAACAACAAATATTCAATATATAAATCTTCGTTTATCCATAGTTTTTCTATGTTGGGTAAGGACTTTGAATTCGCTCTCTTAAACCAGTCAGATAAATAATTTCATTGTGCTCTAACCCGGTAAAGGTCCTACACTATATGCATCCAGAAGAAATGACTAGAAGATTTATAAGATTTTCTAATTTCTTACTCTATATTTTTCTAAAACATAAATAATTTTAAATGGTTACTTAGTATGGTAATCAGTTTCAATTGAAAAGTTAAATGAAGTT